TCACCCAAAAAAAAAAAAAAAAAAGGGAGTGGGGAAGAGACATGGCTCAAAGATACGTTACATTTCAAACTGTTGCCTTTAAAGGCAAACCAGGGCCTTCAGTGCTCCCGCTCTTTGTGAAGTGGAGGCGAGGGCACTACAGACTGGCCAGCTGGCTGGCTGTGCACTGCAAGCAGCAGTTGTGCATGCATGCCCTTTCTACACCAAAGGAGACTATTGCAAACGAAGCTTTGCAGGGGACTTACAATCTTCACCCTGTTCCCAGGACAATATAGACCTATACCTTTGTGGCAGTGTGGGAGTGAGGGTATAGCCATGGTGATTCAGGAAATAGGCAAGAGGCAAGGATTTTTGTGGGCAATATCATTTATTGGACCAACTGTGCAGCTGAAAGAGTTTTAAACATGCTTTTGAATGAGGGGCATTCTGCTTCAGGTCAGAAGAGGGATAGCAAAGAGACAGTAAAACTACAAAAGAAAGAATAGCTTGACTGTACTGTACCCGATTCCTGCTAATTTCTCTTTACTTCACAGGTGTTAATGACTCTCCCCAGGAGGGTGTTGGGAGTGGGCTGGGGTTAGAAAAACATAGTTATAAACAAGATGAAACAAACAGATCAGAAACTATCCACTTTTGTCATGTCCAAACAAACTTACCAGACAAAAGCTATATGCGAAACACATTTCCATGTGAGGTCTCTAATTCCAAGGGATTTCTTTGCTCATGGACATGATCCCAACAGCAGCAAATTGAGGCAGTATGCTGTAGTGGGGTCCAAACTGAATGGTAGTCCGAATTCTTATTTGGCTGCTCGTGCATAGAGTACCAAAGAGAAAAAAGAAGTAAGATATCAGCATCATGTTGCCCATGTAAAATGGTTCATCTCTGCTGCCACCAGGCAAGAATTATTTTTGATCTTGCAGTGCCTTTCATCTTGAAGGATCACAGCATTTCACACTTTCTTAGCAACTTTGGGATGAAATGTGCATATTGCACAGCAATGCCACAGAACAGCTTACCACAAGAAGTTAACTGTGCCACTCTTGGGAACTGAAGGCAGAATTATATACATACCTGGGTTGAAAAATTCTCGCAAAGAACCTGATCTTTACCACCTGAAAAGAATAAACTTCAATTACAAACAGGCAAGGATGTCCTAAGGCAGCGAGGGCCAACCTTTTTGAAGGACATGCCACAAATTAGCGCTGCGCTCTTTCCTGAGTGCTACACTGATACCTTTCCCATGCCTGCCCTACTGTACTGCTTTCTGTCCAATCTACCAGTGTATTGCCTGTCCCCTCCCCGCTCTGCTAGGTGCCACACACAAACACTGATCATGCTGCTTGTGGCACATGAGACAGGTTGGCTCCCAGTCGTAGGGGACAGGAGGAACTTCTCAGAGAACTGGTCAGTGACAAGTCAGACATCAAAGCACTTTGGTTAGGGAACTTCTGAAAGGCTGAGAGCTGATCAAGAAAGGAGCCTATTGAACTATTATTTTCGTCTGCACTATTTTTCTGGTGTGGTGCAACAGGAAAGTTCACAATTGGCATGAAGCGTTATAGAGTTTGCTTTTATGCATACAAAATAGAGCATGACCACCTTTTTAACTCTTTAAAGCATTTTTTTTTTGTTTAAATGAAAGGCAGGAAGGGGTTGGTAATGCCACAGTTCCATCTGATGAAGTAAGCTCTTGCTCATGAAAGTGTATGCATCTCTGATTCAATTAGTCTGAAAGATGCTCTCTACTTTGACTTCCACTGATAACAGTATACACATCTTAAGATGAACACAGATTGGATACAATGCCCCAGGTCATTAAGTTTAGCTTCCTTTCAGGCACGACACCATCTTTCACCCCTATATATTTACTGCAGTCCCATTTAAAAAAACGCGGGCTAACTTTTCACATGGAAGCTGCTAGGGGTAAACATCAGTAACAGACAGGACACTAGGATTTTAAGAACATTTGCCTATTTAATGACCTTCAAATGATGAGGATTTAACTTATGTTTCACTAGACAAGACATCTTCAGTAGTATAGCGATGTGTATTTTAAATAAATTCCTCCAAATGAGAGGGTTCGGAACTGTTTTTTATTCTCCACATTTGATTGACCTGTTAAGAGAAATACAATTAGCAGCACATAACTTGAGAAATCAATGTGCTCAATTTGATTTACTGGACAATGACATTTCCTTTTTTATTTTTATTTTATTACAATTAAGGATGTGCAGTTTACACCCCACAAGAAAAAGCAGAAAAAAGTTTTTATGGAAAAAACCCAGATATACTGAACACATACCAAATGAATGGTACAGAGATGTGGGACTGGCTTTGATTTCAGAATTTTAGTAAAAATAAAGATGTAATGCAACAGCTGCTCAATTTCCAAGTCTAAATAGGCACTGTAAAAAATGACATTTCAGCATTCTCCAGCACATATTCCAGTCTAAATGCTCCCACTGTAACCAACTCCTAGGTTCCCATACTACTGCTGGGAAGATAACCTTAGAATAAAAGTTTAGTACCCACCCACCCTCTTAAAACAAAACAAAAAACAAAACCTTTCAATGTGGCTGTTTGGACTGGAACAGAATTGGAGAATTTTATAAAGGTTTGAGAGCACCCAAGGCAAGAAGTACAATATAATTTGTTCACTATTTAACTTGTATTTAAAAGGAGATTAAAACATTGAGATCGCACCATGGTACATAAAACTGTTGTCCTGAACAGAGATAAATCTTTCAAAAAAGTTTTACATCTTGGTGGAATCAAGGACACAGCTTTAGGCATCAACTGAAGAGGATTTAAATTTATAGTTGGTTATAACCACTTTTATATACTGTACATCTACCCTAGTTGGATCAGTGTCTGGAACTGCTCAATGGTGTCCCTTTAAATTGTAAACTAAACCATAGTATGCAACTCCATAGGAAGCTAGAGATCAGGTGAATGTATAGCCACGGTTATATCTCCCCTGCTTCACGCTCTTCTGAGCTTCTCCGGTCTTCTGATCGTCCATTAGCACTTTCATAGGAACGTTTCCTGTCTTTCTGCTCTCGGGGTGACCTCTCTCTTGAGCTTCTGTCTTTGTCACGCGATGTTCTGTCACTATCTTTTGATCGTTCTTTGTCTCTGGAAGATCTTTCTTTTGAGGATCTGCAAGGGCAAGTACATTTGGAAATTCAAATTAGTCATGGATTTGTAATTACAATACAGAACACTCTGATTGTGTTATCCCTTTTCATATATCCTTTGCAGCCAGACAGACCTCAGTTTCATTCCATACCAACACGAACATGTAAGAAGCCATCAGGACACATTCCTCTGTATACTGCCCATTTTCAATTTCAAAATAATAAGCTAATCAGAGGCAGCATTTTTATGTATATTATACATATGATGAATATTATATGTATGCATCTGGAGCCAAGGTAAACTCCAGATTTTTCTTTTCATTAATCTTGATTTTGAGCCATTTCCTTGAAACTTTCATCAATGGAAAAGTCTGCTTACATTTCCCTTCTGTGATATACAGAGCAAGATCATTTTATGCACAACTTGAAGTCAGCCAGATTTTCAAAATGCACATTTGAGACAATTTTAAAACTAATTTAAAAGCTTCCCTGTTTTGTACTAACATCTTCTAAGAACAAACTGTTCTATGGACTCTATGCTGTTTTATCAGATCATCTCCTGATGAAGATTATTTCTTGAGTGATTTTAAGAAAGCTTAGTAGTTTATTTAATATTCAGATATTTCACCAGACTAATTTGAGCTTCCAGGAACTACTAAAGGCAGCCAGGAGAGGTCTGTTCTGCCACAGATTTGCTAATTAGCACAATCAAAAAAACCTAACCAGTGCTTAATTTTTCCAGTTTGAAAAATGGGGTTAAAACAATCCCACTTATACCACCTTCCTAAAGCAGAGAGATTTGTGGCTGAAAAAACCTCTAATGCCCAAATTTTAACATTGAAAACATAACAGATCTAAAACAACAGCCTAATACAACATTTTTAAATAATGTTATAAAATCTAATATACAATAACATCTCTTATTGTCAAGAAATGCTATATGTTTAACACCAGAATAAAAGGTTGCACTCTCCCCACCAATGGAAGGCCACTAAGAATTAGAATGTTAGTATCTTCAAAGCATATGGAAATAGAGGAGGATCTACAAATTTCCCAAGTCAATGCCTTAAAAACTCAGAAGCTGCAGCTACTTAGTATTTCAGTATTAATTTCACAGTAACTCCAATTACAAGTGATTATATATACATCTTGCATATCTATTTTTAAAATCTATTTTTGATTTATTTTTTGTGGCTTCCATCCTTCCAAAAGTAGACATGGCTGCTGTGTCACACTGCTTCTAAAGCAATTAGGACAGGGGAGATTTGACTAGTAGCTGTTTCTAGCACTGAGTGTACAGGACACATTTATAAGCTCACATATTTTGTTCAATACTTCTTGGGACATGGGATAGAAGTCCAGCCATTTCAGACCTTAAGATCAGTGACTGAGGTCTTCTGATCCCCCAGACAATTATATACACTCTGTCAATCCTCTATTTTGGCTGTGGGTACTCCAAATATCTAAATTTAGCCCCTTTGGGCACTATGTTTCTACAAGTATGTTGGTAGCAAGAGGAGAAGGGAAAATGTGGGTCCCTTACTGAATGGGGGAGGCAACCTTGTGAGAAAGGATGCAGAAAAGGCTGAAGTGCCCAATGCCTTTTTTGCTTCAGCCTTTACGGTCAAGGTCAGCACCCAGACTACCGCACTGGGCAGCGCAGTTTGGGGAGGAGGTAAGCAGCCAACACTGGCAAAAAACAGGTTAGGACCTATTTAGAAAAGCTGGACACAACAGGTCCATGGGGTTGGATGGGATGCAGAGCCACTGGCTATCATCTCTGAAAACTCATGTCAATCAGTAGAGGTCCTGGATGACTGGAAAAGGGCAAACAGTGTCCATATTTAAGAAAAGGAAAAAGGAAGGTCCAGGGAACTACAGACCAGTTGGCCTCACCTCAGTTTCTGGAAAAATCATGGAACAGATCCTCAAGGAATCCATCTCTAGGCATTTGGAGAAGGAGATTAGGACCAGTCAGCATGGATTCACCAAGGGCAAGTCATGTCTGACTAATCTGATTGCTTTCTATGACAAGGTCTCTGGCTCGGTGGGTGCAGGGAGACCAGCAGATGCAATATACCTTGATTTTATCAAGGCTTTTGATACAGTCTCCCACAGCATTCTTGTAGGCAAGATAAGGAAGTATGGGCTGGATGAATGGACTGTAAGATGGACAGAAAACTGACTCGAGGCATCAGGCTCAGAGGGTAGTAGTCAATGGCTCGATGTCTAGTTGGCAGCTGGTATCAAGCGGAGTGCCCGAGGGGTCGGTCCTGGGGCTGGTTTGGTTTAATGTCTTCATCAACGACCCGGAAGACGGCATACAGTGCACCCTCCACAAGTCTGCTGATGACACCAAGCTGGGGAGGAGGAGGGGGAGGAGTAATAGATACGCTGGAGGGTAGGGCTAGGATTCAGAGTGACCTAGACAAATTGGAGGATTGGGCCAAAAAAAATCTTATAAGGTTCAACTAGGACAAGTTCAAAGTCCTGCACTTAGGATAGAACAACCCCATGCACTGGTATAGGCTGGGGGTTGACTGGCTGAGCAGCAGCTCTGAAGAAAAGGATCTGGGGGTCACAGTGGACAATAAGCTGAATATGAGCCAGCAGTGTGCCCTTGTTGCCAAGAAGGCTAATGGCATGCTGGGCTGACGTGGTAGGAGTGCTGCCAGTAGGTCAAGGGAAGTGATTATTTCCCTCTATTCAGCACCGGTGAGGCCACATCTAGAGTACTGTGTTTAATTTTGGGCCCCCCACCACAGAAAGGATGTGGACAAATTGGGGAGGGGCAGAGAGAGAGGTGGGGGAGCATGTGGGGAAGGGTGGCTGGGGAGGGTTGTGGCATGTGTGGAGGGGGAAGGTTTGCCTACAGCCCCCCTGCAGCAGGCAGAGATCCCTGCAGCACTACTCCAAACCCAGGCTTCTGCTTCTCCTGGCCCTGGTGTGACCCCATGCTCCCGCTCACAGCCACTTCCCCCTCCATCTGCCACTGCTGCCCTTCTGCAGTTGTAGGGGCTGTGGTGGCATCCCCTGCTCACCCCAGGCTCCCTGCCCCAGACATCCTGGACTCTCTCTGGCCCTGCCCCCAACCCCTCTGGTGACACATCAAGGGTAGAGGGAATTTGACCCCCCCAGATCTCTGCACCAATGGTGGAGTGCGGGGCTGCAGCCCTGCTGGAGCCAGTGCCCAGCAGCACTGGGAGGTGGCAGGGGTGCTGCCCAGCCAGGGCAATGCCTAGGACCTGGGCAGGCACCTGTGGCTCTCAGGCATGGGGTCCCTGTGAGGCTGCTGTGAGGGGGGACGGGCAGTGGGTAGACAGAGACCCTAGTGCCTCCCCTGCACTCTGAGGGGTGGGGGGTTAGGTTTTATGAGGGCTGGGGGCCTAACTCTGGC